GTGTACCCCCTTATCATGTGGCTGATCACCTAGTGTACCCCCTTATCATGTGGCTGATCACCTAGTGTACCCCCTTATCATGTGGCTGATCACCTCGTGTACCCCCTTATCATGTGGCTGAGAGACTGAATTTCACTTCATCCTCCAAAGTTGGGGCAGAACTGCAGGAAGTCTGAGGCCTTGAGAAGTCAATGAGCTGTCAAGGAAGGGACCCATGGGCTGCCCCTGAACGTTCTGACTCTATCTTGTTTAGTGCTGACATAACCTGGATTGGTCCGAACATTCAAAAGCAGGATGTGGCCTGCCATCTTCAGGCTTTTGGGGGATTACCCTGTAGCTTCCACCAAATACGTGGCTTCTGGCCATCACTGGAGAATCACTGGCCATCCTTGGAGAATGTCAAGGCTCAGAACATAGAAGGGCAGCTATCGTGGTGGGATCGGCCATGCGTTTTTGGATTCTGGGTGCGGGGTGTGAGCTTTCAGCTCCCATGTGCCCCACCCACTCTCGGTGCGTCTGGGCCAGGAAGGCAGCTTTGCTGCTTGAGGGGAAGAGTGAGGATGCTGTGGTTGGGAGGCCGGGTCTGCCTCACTGTACAGACATTTCTGAGAACTCGCCAGGTTTGCCCCAATGTGAAGCCGCATCAGGCAAGGGCGCTTTACTAAGAAGTGAAGAGGACGTGGCCTGTGGCAGAGAGTAGAGAGATCGGGTGCAGGGGAGGGGTCACAGAGTCTGTATTTTCTATCCATCAAAGGGCGGTTTTTTGATGGTGGGTGTGAAAGTCTGAAATGCAAAGTTGCAAGTGGCTTGTGGCCTGATGAGCTCGGTTTTCCCTGGGGGCGAGAGAGAGAGAGGGCGGCAGTGTGTACAGTGGGAAACTTGCAGGCTGGGGTGTGAGCCACCCCATCCCCACCTGGTGTGGCATGGCTCTGAGAGGCTCAGTGCTGTCACTGTTTTAGGGAGGCAGTGCACAGACTAGGGTCAGCCCCCCAGGGTGTGCTCCCAATAGAGGATGTGTAGGGGACATCCCCTGAGACCTCAGGGATGCTGTACAGGGGTCATGCAGTTCCATCTAGAGCAGTGGCTCTAGACAAAACTGCCCACGCCCCTTCCCTGCCTGTGTCTCATATGTCTCTCCTTCTGTCACTCCATGTTTTAAATCCTTCCTGGATTCAGTTCGAACAGATGATTGGGTCTGTGACCAGCTTGACTAGATAGGTCCTTCCCAGCAAGCCGACAGCTTTAGGTAGAGGGAAGGTCTTTACTGCATAGGGAAGAATTTTCTAGACTTCCTGGATGTAGTCTCGACATAGATAGTTCCCACATGGTCCCCAGATGGCCCTGCGATCAAGATGAGCTTTCCCTGGTCTGTGGTGGATGGGAAGGTGAGAGGCCGCTGGCCGCCGTGGGGGCCCAGTCTCTCAGCCCTGCCCCAGGTGGCCATTTGCATGGATGGTATGTGTGTCTGAGGTCAGGGATGCCTCTGAGGTGGCTAGCCAGTGTGGGCTGGCTGAGGGTCATCCTCCAGCCAGAGCGGGCTGTTTGTGGCCAGGAAGCCCAGAGAAACTCACACCCCCGACACAGGCTGTTATTTTGCTGGCCGTTCAGTCTGTTGCCTCTACCACAGCCTCTCAGTCACAGCCTTCGATTGCAAGCTGCTCCCTGGTCATCAGCCCAGTCTGCCGCACACACCCCAGTGCCCTCCACTCATGCCTGGCACAGCCCCGAACTGAGCTCCCTCACCCATAGACAGTAGCTTTTTTAGTGCAGAAGGGGCTTGGAGCAGGGAAGCTGGTCCAGCTCTCCAACATCTCTCTGCTTTGGACTTGTTACCTTTGGTGTGAGGGAGCATTGCCCCTGAGGTTGGGGCCCTAGGAAGGACGAAATGCTTTTTGGGACTCAGCAGACAAACTTGAAAGGGGCGTTGGATGATCCCGGGCTGTTTGCTCCATTGGCCCTGGCTGATGGGCCAGACCCCAGGTCTTCTCCTAACTTAATATGACAGGAGAGGCAAGCCCTGTCCTAGATCGTCAAGTCAGGTTGAAGATCTTTGGGTTGTAGAGGTGCAGCTGGTCTGCAGAATGAAGATGTTCTACAGACTGTGTCCTTCAGTCTATCAGACTGTTGGAAACAATGGACCCCAAAGAAGTAGGGATTTCTTGCGAAATCTCATGCACTGGTCAGAAGATGAGCTTGTCTCCCACAAAGGGATCTCATAGTCCTAACAACTCGTCAGACCATCTTATAAATGAGACTGAAACCCAGACAATGATGTGTCTGTGGTGGGCAGCACCACACCTTGATCCGCACTGCTTAGACCTGCGTATCCTTGGCCCGCTATTTAAATTGTGATTTCACTTCAGGAATCTGAGGTGGACTTGGGGGTTTGCTGGATCTCCTTGTCCCTCCTCCCAGTGTGGCCACATTGGACAAGTCTTTCTTTCCTCTCCTCTCCCTTCCTCCCTCCCTTCCTCCCTCCCTCCCTCCCTCCTTCCCTCCCTTCCTTTGTTTTCTTTCTGCTTTCTACTTTTAATTTGGCTCTTTTTATTGGCGTATTGAGGATGGGTGGCCAGGTCTGATTTGGGGCACAGTTTGTGACCTCCCAAGTCTGCTACCAGAGACACTTCACCGGGGCTAAGGAAGGCTTCCTTCAGAGAGCTCTCACTTGCTGCTTCCTTCCGAGGTCCCAGAGCCTTGAAGGGGCCTCTGCCCATATCCGAGAGGGGTTGTCTTTGGGAAGAGACCACATACAGCTCCAGTAGGCATCATGTAGGGGGCAGGACCCCAAACCCTCTTGGATTCGTGCTGATGACATCTGAAAGTATACTTTTGCTGCAGTAGTGGGTACCATCCAGACAGGCTCTTACCACACCTGTGCCCTTTACCATGTTCTGTGTGTGCCACAGCCACCTGCAAGGGTGAGGCTGGGTAGAGCTGTGTCCCTGCCCCATTAAGGTAATTGCCTGTCCCTTTGGCCTAGGAGTCTTCTGGGAAATTCCCAAACCCAGCTCTGTGAGAAAGCTGAGGACGCATCAGCCACCCCTGATTTATTTATTTTTCCCCCGTGGTACTAGGGGGTGGACCTAGGACCTTACATGTGCTGGGCAGGTGCTCTTCCTTTGAGCTGTATCCTCAACTCCAAGCCTTTGATTCTTGACCACTACGAGCCACAGTTCAGGCTCCAGGTAGGGTCTTGACCCTTGGGTCTTTCTTCATGAGCCAGTGATGATGATCCAACCTATTAGTACAGGCGCTAGAAGCAGGACCAGGCACAGAGGGATTGGCAGTCAAATATGGTTCTCAGCATTGCTGTGAGTATAAAAACAGGAAGATGTGGGAAGATGTCTGGAAGGGCAGAGCCGAGGTTTATTGTGCACATGTGCAGCAGATGAGGGACCAGGTCTAGAATTCTATGTTCCTGAGGGGAGCGCTCTGTTTCGCCGATGAGTAAAATAAGGCATGCAGGGACAGAATGACCCACCCAGGGTCTTTGCTGATGTGAAGATCAGTTTGGCTTTGGCTGTCCCTCACCTGCCTTCACTAGGAGCCAACTGCTTGGACCTCTTTGTTAAGGCTCCTGAAGAGCAAGAACGGCACCCAGTCTGATGCAGACCCTTTGCCTTCCAGGAACTGGTTGAATGGGTTTTAGGGGAAGTGGCTCAGCGGCCCCCTGCAGTGGGAGCCCAAGGTGGTCCCCTCATTCTGGAGGTGGGCTGTGGATCAGGAGCCATTGCCCTCAGCCTGCTGAGTCAGCTCCCTGAGGTAAGCCCTCTGCACCCCTCTGCCCTGCCTTTCCCTGGCATCGAGACGGTCCCTCACCGTCTCTTCCATTGGCCCTTCCCCCACATCCCTCTGCTAGAAGCATTGAAGGAAAGTGGCCAAAAAAGGAAGGTATGCCCAGCCCAGCATGGCGATAGCCTCTGACTTCCATCCCTATCTGTCTGGCTAGAGCCCAACTATAGGAAAATCTTGTTACATATTTCTTTCTTTTGGGAAGCTAGGGGAGGGTTCCCAGACAGGCATCTCCCAGAACTCTACCTCTCTTCCTTTGTTCTTGGGCAGAGTCGAGTCATTGCTGTGGATAAGGAAGAAGCTGCTGTTAGTCTGACCCGTGAGAATGCTCAGAGGTATATGGGCTGGGAGGGCCAGAGGGCCAGCACTGGGGAGTTGGACTTCGGGACCTGAACTTGACCTTTATTCTAGTATCCAACCTGCTAGTCTGACTTCCATTCTTGAGAGAGAGGTGCAGTGAAGGTAGCCCGGCATTGGTCCCACCGGTCTATGAATGGATGGACTATGAGCAGTGGCTATTTTGCTCATCCAGGAAGGCCCCACTTTCCCTCCTGGTCCTTGTAACCAAGGGTAAAGGCTTGCATCCTATGCTCACCACAATTCCCCATCTCTCTAGGCTTCAGCTGCAGGACAGGATTCGGATCATTCCCCTTGATGTGACCTCAGGTACATCCCCCTCCCCATCTTCTTGGGGTGGGGGTCCTGGATAGAGGATACGGGTAGGTGAGGACTGCAGGAATAGGGTAAGAGTTTCCCAGTGACCGTGGACCAGTGGACCACCTCAGACCAGCCCTTGCTGCGGACAGACAAGGGGCTGTTGTCTGCTTGGCTGTCGTGCCCCATGAAGGGACAAGGGACTAGCCACAAGGTCTTGTAGCCCTGCCTATCTGTCTGCCTCTGCCTGCCGAGTGAGCGGTGTGAATAAAGGTGTGCACCTCCACAGCCCAGCTACAAAGTCTTTCTTATCTTCTAGATCCCCTATAACTGATAAGTTTAACTAGGGTTTGTTTATTGGCGAGAGATAAACAGATGTTCAAAGGAGAGCAGTTCTGAGCCAGGTATGGTGGCCTCTACCTGTTATCTTAGCAGTGGGGAGGCAGGAAGACTCTTATGAATTCAAGGCCTGTCTGAGGAACATAGTGAGTTCTAGGCCAGCATGGGATACAAAGTGAAACACCTCAAAAAAACAAAAACCAAACAAAAACAACAACAACAAAGAAAGAAAACTTTAGGACCAAAATACACATGTGCCTCTGTCTCCGCCCGGCCTGGAAGAGGTGGTCAGGCCGTGCCTGGCTCGTGGCAGGTTTTGCAGAATCCTCAGGTTTCCAGCTCCTGCTCTGATTCATTTGTTACCCATGGAGCCCCCGAACTTTGTGTGAGTGTGATACACCTGGTTTAGCATCTGGTACGAGTGGGACCCAGAAACAGCCATAAGGGACTGGCTGAGGGCAGGCCTGCCCTCCCTATGCTTTCAGACGCTTTTGGTTATAAAGCAGAAAGTGGCGAGGCCCGGGGTGCAGAGCAGAGAAACCATTCCTCCGCCCTTGTAATCAGGCTTGTGGGAGGTGGCATTGAATATTGCTTAATGAGGAGACCTTGACAGGGAGCAGAGAGAACACAGACATTCCAGGTGAAGGGCTGCATGTCAGCATGTCCACCCCTGGCCAGCCTGCTAAGTAGGGACTCTGGCTGCTGATCTTCAAGTCTAGCCAGGTCTAGAGACAGACACGGTCTCTAACATGGGGGAAGGGGCTACCTCAGGGGCAAGGCAGCTTGTGGAGCTACCAGCTTTTTCTTTGCAGTGGAGCAATTCATTCTGTGCATCTGCTTTGCTCACAGAAGAGTGCTGGACACGCCTTTTGCCCTGGGGCCCTGTGGACTTGGTGGTCAGTAACCCTCCCTACATCTTCCACAAGGACATGGAAGAGCTGGCCCCAGAGATCTGCAGGTACAGGGTGGGTGGAGCAGCAGGGGAACTCTAGTAGGGTGCTCTGGGCTGGAGAACTTCCATCTGGAGAAAATAGGTGGGGCCCGGACGGGACAGCAGTGTTGAGAGGTACACTCTAGATTAGAGCCCGCAGCCTGACTGGGACCGCGTCTGCCTTTGCACTTCTGACTCCCGGAGGCCCCTAGGTCCCTGAGCCTCCATCTCCCCTTTGAAAGAGGAGCGGTGATGTTTGCAGGACCATGGGAAGGACTTAGCATCGGCATAGTGAGACCTAATAAAAGGCACTCCCAGAGGGATGTGTCACTTCACACAAGACCAGGGCCTAGAGAGGGAGGGCGCCCTGTTTAAGGTCCCATGAGGACTTGTGGGAAAGCCAGCACTGAACCCTCTGGCCCTGGAAAAGCCATGCTGCATTTGCAAGGACGGAGAAGGCAGTGCCACCCCCTGTCCCTCCTTAAGCACTGGTGATAAGGGCTGGGTGCTGGCTCCTCTTTTCTTGGCTCACAGAAGTAGGCAGGATCGGTTTTAAATGTCCTCAGATCAAAAGCAGGAGCAGCTGGGTTCTGAGGGAGCCTCATGCCCTGAGGGCTGTCTGTCCGTGGGACTCAGCAAATCTATCCAGCCCTGCTCTATGGGGGTGCTGTGGGCAAGAGAGAGGAGGAAGGTAGAACCTGCTAATCCATTTAGGAACCACTTGCTAATGGATCCTCCGCTTCCCTCTCAACCCAGAGTCTGTCCCAGGGGCCCTTTGTGAAGGCCTGCCTGCCTTGTCAACCCTTTCACATACCCATCCCCCAGGCTCTTACCTGCCACTGTTTTCCTCTTCAGTTATGAAGACCCCGTGGCCCTGGATGGTGGTGAGGAAGGCATGGACATCATTACCCACATCTTGACCTTGGCACCCCAGCTCTTGAGTGCCTCTGGGTATGGACAGCAGCCTTCTCCTCTTCCATTGTGCAATTGGCATGCCTTAGCAATCATTGTGCCCCTGCCTCTCGCAGGCCAGACAATGTAGAAGCACAGGTCGTGGTCCTACCTACTTGAGCTGACCCCTTTCTCCTCCGTGTAGAAGCATCTTCTTAGAAGTGGACCCAAGGCACCCAGAGCTTGTCAGGAGCTGGCTTCAGAGCCGGCCGGACCTGCGCCTTAGTCTTGTGGCTGTACGTGAAGACTTCTGTGGGAGGTAAGACAACAGTTCCCCTCGCCATACCTCTTCCATGCTCTCCAGCAGCCCCCACCACTCATACATTCCTGAGAGCTTAGATGGTACCCAGATACTCATCCTGTCTCCCCAGGCTCCGGTTCCTGCATGTCCAGAAGTCTGCACCATAGTGTGGCTACTCTGTGAACAGCTGGCCAGGATTCTAGCCTGCTGGGTGCCTGGCTGATCCTGATGGAATACTGCTCAGAGGGAGGCGTTAACGCTTTCCAGAACCCCAGGCAGGGCCCATGGTTCTGTGATTCCCCATGACGGATGCTTCTAGGAGACTTGGAAACAAGGATGGAGTGTTCTTCCTGGGGGAGCAGAGAACGGACTCAAGAGCTGGGTTTCCAGCCTAGCTCTTTCCCCTCACTGTAGCAGGCTACTTGGTGTTCCTGTCGCTGGAATTGCTGTGAAGAGGTTGGGAAATGTGGCCAGTCAAGTATTGAGAGAGCAATAAACGGTAAACCAGTGTTTTGTTATCCGTGTTTGCCGGCCCTCGTCCCCCATGTAGGGTTAGGCCTGAGAGCCTCCTCCTACTCCAGCAAGTCAGGTAGACTGTGTGGTGGGCGTGGGGCCCAGTGTAAGGATAGCACGTGATGGGGGTAGGGGTGTGGAGGGTTAATCATGGCCTTGAACACTGTAGGGACTGCACCGAACAGCTCATTGTTTGGGTTAACATCATCTACCTCCAGCCTAGGTATGCCTGCATACCCTTCCTTAACTGGGCCTAGGCTGAGCATGGGGGCCATATATGAGGGTGACGATGGGGTTGAGGGTCCTTGACATGTGATCCTGGGGTTACATGCCCACATTCATGTAAGTAGGGTGGAAAAAAAAAAACAACAACACAGGATTTTTGTTTGTTTTTATTGACAATCCATTCCAAATGTAGACATTCAAATTTGGAGTTCAAATAACCATGTATGTTTCCCTGGTTGGTGCACCCAACCAAGTCTGGGCACTGAATTGTGACCTTCACCCCATCTTTGGGCCAATACATGGCTACCAGGAGGCCCAAAGACCAGCCTACTGTCAACAGCAACAGGAAACTTCTTGGTGGTGAGTGTTGCTGCAAGGCCGCATCTGGGTAGTTCGTCGAGCGTGTCGAAGACTAAGACGTTCATTCTACCGACTCTTCTCTGCCCCCGGCATGTGCAAGGCACTGCCTGACCTAAGGTGCCACAGCCAGAGGGAGTGCGCTCTGATAGGCAGCAGCTCCGCCAGAGCCACGACAGCTGAGCTCCAGGTCCCGGCTTGGAGTTGGTCCCCAGTCATCTCCTTTCTCTATGAGGCATGGACTCTTCTGAGTTCAGGGCAGTGCAGGAAATAGCTTCATGTTATTCTATTCTACATCAGCAAAGTAGAACATGCATGCTGGCATCTAAATGCCCAGTCCAGGCAGGCGGGTCAAGGCGCTAAGAGAAGACCTGCCTGAAGTCCCGTGATACAGGGAGGCTAGGATGAGGAAGGAGGTCAGGTCCTCACCTTCGGGAGTCTGTATTTCTGGACTTAGATCCTGTGTGAGTGATGTCTGCTGCCGTGCTTAGAGGGTATATTTGTGTTGGCAGAGGCCATACAGCATGTGTCAGAGCCCCAGCATCTGGCCCTGGTGACCTACCCTATTGCCAGCCCGAGATATGTGGCCTGCAAGCTGTCTTGCTTCCTTTGAAGGCGGGAGCCTGGGCTTTCCCTCATGGCTATTCCGGAAAAACCCTGGGAAGGTGACAGGGTACGGCCAGAGCAAGGCTCCTCACTCCTGAGCCGCCTCTGCCATTTGGCCTTTGCTGGCCACAGCCTGTGTGAAGACTGCCTTCTCTCTCGCCTTTGCCCTTTGGCTCTGGCTGTCTTCAGACATCAGGCCGCCCTGACCTTACAGCAGTCTGTGACCCTCTTGTCTCACAGCTTGGGTTATACTCAGCCACTGCCGAGTTCTCTGACAGTTTTCCCTCCTGGCCTCAGGCCTGTTTCTGAGGTAAGGCCTTGGAGAGCCTGTGGGTATGGCACCCAAGAGAGCGGAGGGGCAGCTGGGGTCACCAGAGCAAGAGCCACCCTTGGGACAGCTTCCTTCCCAGAAAAATGTAGGGCCTGCCTCCACTGGGATTTAAGTCCAGGCCAAGTAGAGCGGCAAGGCTCCAGACTGTGGCTACTAGCTTAACTGGGCTAGACGTGAGTTGCCACACTGGAGCCATATCAACCCACGTTTAGATTCTAGAGGCTGCCCCTTACCAGGATGTGACCTTGGGCAGATGACTTGGCCTTCTTCAGCTTTGGCCTCCAAACCTTGAGAAACAGGGCCAAAGTGCCTTACTGCAAGGATGGCTGTGAGATTTTCTTGGTACATTGCGGGTGTTTCTGTTGCCTCGAGGACAGACAAGGAAGGTCCTGTACCCTGCTGGGTCAGCTCAGCACCAACACGAGGCAGGCAGAGACAGCAGTCAGCAAAGGAAAGACAGACGGCAGGATTTTAGTCCTGGGTTCTTGCTGACTCTCTGGAGATGGAGCCAGCAGGAG